GAACATAGTAAATTGTAACTGATTTATCAGTCACCGTTTTCTAAATAAATAAAAAAATATCACTATTAAATATCATTCATTATAAGTGTCCTCTGTAATGATTAGTAAATTTTTTTTGGAGAGAATAAAAGAAGTTGAAATTTTAAACCAAAAGTTTTTTTTCACCTTTACCTCAGAACATTATTTAAAGAAAGTTTTCTTTCCAACTTTCACTTTTTTGTACTCCTTATAAGTAACTTTGTAAAAAAATCTCGATAGAAACATACTAAGTAAAAAAAATAATACATTTAAATATTAAATTAAAACTAACTTATCATTTACAGTTTCAAAAGAAGTACCATAATACGACATACATATATAACACTGTTTGATACAGATTGTGTTTCTTTCTTTCCCTTACATTACACAATTTTATACTTTATCATCGTGTTTTTCATATAGCCTATGATGAATATACATTTATTTCTGTGCAGTTGATTATACTTAAATTTATACGTAATAACAGTTGTGTAAAATAAAATACAATAAATTATTGTTAGTTAGCTTACTAAAGACTCGACTTTTTATTTTATGACTACTTTGAAAATTATTAAATGTATTAAAATCTGGAGTCTATACTTCCGATTTTAAACATAATTAATAAATACTTATTTAGTGTCATAAAATAAGAATTAAGTTTTCTTATATAAAAGGTACTTTAGTATTAAACGCAATACATGAATATTGTTTTTTATTTAAATAAAGCATACTACCATAAAAAATATCCTATTTAATTATATATACTACTTAAACAATTCGTGCGGTTTGTGACGCATGGTACTACTTATTTTATTTAAAACGTTACGACGATTCACAACTTTCTTCAAGATGATGTCAAGCATGAATTGTGCCTACAAAAAAATAAAATACAGTTATCATACCATCTTATGGCATAGTTTTGCATAAGTCGGGAAATTCTGTAAAATACAGGTTTGTAAAAGAAACGAAAATACACCCAAAAGAAAACCAATTTACGTCTCAGAAATAAAATATAAAAAAATTTGTTTAAACAAAAGTATAAAGCATTGCACAAATGCAAAACAAACTATTTTAAAAGTTTATATTTTTATATTTATATAATAACTTGTACCTTCTCTATTTTATATATGTCGATCAGGTTATTATAAAGCAGTCCTACAGAAATCTAAAAACAATTTATGTTAGTAACACTGAACTTGATGACAAATATTACGCAGAATTTTTATACACTACGTATATTTTTTTAATATGCTACACAAAACTACATATATAAACCTTATTATTATACTTATAATACACACATGTGTTTTTAAATATACACATATATGTTTTATGTTTTACTTTCAAAGCAACAATAAACGATAAAAGTCACATATTATACCTTTTTAAGATTTTCCTCTGAATACGTGTTGTTAATAATAAAAGTGACAACTGCAAGTAGATTGTCTCTATAAAAAAGACCACAAATAATAGATACTCAGTGCAAGAATGTTTTATGTACATACAAGATATTTTCACACATGGTATGATAAAACAATGTATTAATTAAATCACTTTACATAAATATACAAACTATATAAAATAAATTTATCTATACAGTATAAATATACACAGTTTTATATACAGAACATCTATTACCTTGCATAATTGTGTAGTCTGCTTGTTATACCATTTAATAATGTAACATTTTTTGAATATTTTGTTACACTATCGAAAAGAACATAAACAGATTGTCTTTTGGTTAGTAGACTAGCTTCAATTTCACGTAAAATTTGCACAATATTATGTCCATAACAAGATAACAATTTCCAAAGTTGTTCTTTTTTGTTATCAGTTGAATATATCTTCTCTATGTTTTGCCACAAATCAAAAGTACCATTTACTAAAATTAAACTTTGGCAGTAAATCCATTTCTGCCAACTTTGCAAAAGTCTACAATTTTAAAACATAATTGTATATAAATATATGTATACATAAAACTATAATTTATAAATATAAATAGTTTATGTTACACTATATATGTAATTATTTTGTAATTAAGTTTCTTTAGAGAATAATTTACTTGCAAGTGTTTTCTTTTCTTACAATATTATAATATTGTATCAAGACTCACGTCACAATTATTCAATATATAATACTTTATTAGGAAGAGAACGTCATACAGAGCAGAAAAACGTACTTGTTTTTTACAGGATTTTCTAAATGCCACTTTACTATGGCATTAACATGTTCTTCGCATTTTACACCATCGAGAATACACGTCCATTTTATAAGTTCATGATATACTTGATTACTGATACTATTATCTGAAAAGTTTTTATGTGATGTATCCTCAAGGAAGATATTCAATAGTTGAAGGATTTTAGTCTGAAAAAGTGTAAAATATACTTTTATAGTATATTTTATGATATATTTAAAATTCTTCATTTTTTGTAGCAGTTGTTTGTTTAGTACTATTTATGGACAAGTTATTTTTTCTTATTTAATAAGTGTTACGTTTCAATAATACTGTTTATACATATGTATATGCGCAAATTTGTTCTCTTTTCTTGGTTGTAAAAAAACACAATTATAATATACACAGTGAAACCAAAAGTACCGGAGCATCTCTAAATATCTCAGAAAATATAAATTTTCAAAACAAAAATGTGTTTATTGATTGATTGATGTGTTTTTATTGTTTATTTTTATTGATTGTATTACTGTGATCATGGATTGCGCCGCCAAGTTTAGAACAAGGTCACATCGATTTGAAAAAATAAAATTTCCTAGTTTTTACTGCAGATTCGTATAGCCTACCTCAAAAGCTTTTCAAACTACTATACTTAAGTTTATTTTTATCAAATACTTTTTGACTTGTAAGGGATGAATATTAGAATATTGCCGGTATTATCATTACGTTGTGTGTCACCTTCCTACGTATAATTACATCAGTGTAGTTACATCACATACCGAATTTTCAGTTTATTGCATAGTGACATTTAGAAAGTAATGTTCTTTATGGTTATCAAATATTTAAAAAAAATATTCATACGTAAGGTAAAAATTTAAAACCCACAGATCCCTTAGCTAGGAAAACTATATGAAGCTTTAAACCTTTAAACTGCTCTCTTTTAAAATTTGTGTTTTGGAGTTACGGAATTCTACGTAGGGAGTAATGATGTATTGGCTTATCTCTCTTATTCATTTCGAATGTTGATTTATCCAAACAAAATTATGTTGAATAAAAAGTTAAGGTCTTTGTCATTTCTGTCTATCATGAAAATCACAAAATACGTTTTGCCTAAAATTATTTTTCTAGAAAAAGTACCGGCGGTACTCTACTATTAAATTCTTATAAGTTAAAAAGGAACTTAAGGTTACTTAAGGAAAATAAACTTTTTTTAGTGGTGTAGAAAGCTCTTGAGAGTTAGACTATAAAAATCAGCAATAAAAACTAGGAAAGTCTATTTAAAAAAATTGATATAACCTTGACCTGACTTTGGCGGCGCAATCCAAAGTCACAGTAATACAATCAATAAATAGATCTTTTTAAAACTTTAAACTATACTACTCTTGTCTGAAACACTTTTCTGTAAAACTTATATTTTCTGAGATACTCAGGTGTTCCGATACTTTTTTTCAATCTGTATATTTAAATGCAAAGTAACAAACATGTACTATTTTCTTCAAATTATACCCATTACTTATTACATATTTGCAATGTGCAAGTTTTTGTTTTTTAATTACTTATACTGTAATGCTCTGTTAGTTGTTTTGTATGTTTACGATCTTCCTTCTATTGCTTATGCATTATTTTTAATGTATTGTTTTGTTTATTTGAACGAGTTAAAAAAAATAGATGCAGAAGCGTTTAGTATAAGCTGTCTTAAAAATATCTCACTGATGTTTTTTATCATTCCGTTGTTAGTCTTTTGGCTTTTCAATTATGTATTTGTTTCAATGCATTTTAGTAATATTTACCTTGATAGATGCACTTTCTGGATACGGAAAAATCTTTGATACATACTGAAGAGCAGTAAGTACAGGATACCACGTTATGTACGAATTTCTCATGTAAAGTATATTGCTTGCAAGATTTAAAAATATGTCTATATTAGTACTGTTTGCAGCAGGATGTACGTTATACTTTGTATTTTGCAGTAAAAAATAAAAAGCATCGTCGAGAATGTGTGCTAAAGTGACGTCAGATAATTTGTTTTTAATCCAAAACTCAGGTTTTTTACTTTTCAGAAAGAAAGCAATATTTTCCAACGTTTTATGATCATAGTTGACGCGATATCCTACAACAATTGGTTTATACATAAATATGTATTTAAATACACAGAAAAACAAAGAGCGTTATTAATAAAAAAAAATGTTAGCAAAACGCTTGAATATACTATATACAAAATAAATAGAATAAAAAATTCACCGTATCTTTGTTTTTGTATTACCATTGTGCGTTGTGATTATGATAAAATCATCTTCTTCAACATTCGCAATAAAAATACTTTCTCCGTCTGGTCTTAGGTACACATAATTAGTACTATACTCTTCTCTTGATATTTTGACATAGATTACAGGTATCCACCACTTATATGCACACAAGTTCTTTTGTTTAACCGCAATACAATCTTGAACTTTAATTTCCACAAGTTGCGTATCATGTTTACGGTTTACTAGTACCACAGGATACCCATCATTTGTTATCCATGAAGTTATTACATATTTTATATTTATATTCTTCAAATAGAAGTTTTCATTTATGGTTGGCACGAACAGTAACTTGCTCCATATATTTTCCAGAACAGACAGGTTACCATATGTCTCACATGATGTAATACTGACAACAGATAACAAAACAAAAAATAAATCGCTTTTAATTGTTTTGAATATTATGAAATAAATTTTTCAAGATTTTTAAACGTAATGTATAAAATGCTGTTTAATCCTAAACTTTCTTATTTTTTATGATCACTGGTATAATACAATTTTCATACTTACTTGTAATATGTAGTTAACGCTTTCTTGAAAATAGTGTTATATAGAACATCTTGATTACGGAATAAATTATTCATCATATAGAAAATAGTAAATGCTAAAACATAATTTGGAATGTGTAAAAAGTATCAAATTATAATCACAACATTTTACGTATATTAATGTTTATAAATGCATATACTGCTAACTGGATGACTCTATTTCAGAATTCGATGACGGTTCCGCAAAAATTATACTGTATATTCTAATTGTTTTATTTGTTTAAGATATATAAACTAAGATTGTATACTATTAGTCAAGTTTATTGGTAAAGACCTAAGTAAATACAAATTATAAATACCAGTTTTACTTACCTTTCTCTTTCCACATTTTATTAAAAGTTACGTTTTGAAGAAATGTATATTTTTGCATTGGAAGATCATATTCACTAAATGCTTGTGTATATTCAAAATCTACCCGTCGTGCCTGGACCACAATCGACATCAGTAAAGTCTCATTGTAAATCTACCAAAAATTTGTATAAGTAGCACATACGTCTATTTTAGCTTCGTTATTTACTCTGAAGTAAATCATACAGTTTTATAGTTTTGTAGTATCGAGTCTTTAGTATCAAGTAATAAAAAAACTTTTAGTACAACCATAGTAGTACGATTTTTTAAAACTTTTATATTAATACGATTTTTACAAATTTTTATATATACTACAAACATTAATTTAAAAACAAGTATGACAGTGAAATTTTTCACCAAACTTTCTGAGAGCACTATTTAATACATATTATTTTCTGTTCTACCGATCTGCATAAAAGTATTATTGTTTGTACACACACACATCTAAATTGAAATAGTCAACAGAAATATGTAAGGCCGATACGAGCCATTCGCAGGATGTTTGTGCGGAAACTTAAGAATTGAGATTTTCAATTCAAAAAATACTTGTAAAAATTTATAAGTATAGTTCGTTACATGTATATATATATGTACACGCTTAGTTTCCGCACAAACATCCTGCGAATGGCTCGTATCGGCCTTACATATTTCTGTTGACAATTTCACGAGCGTTAAATCTTTTAAATTGAAATAATAGATATGAACTTTATACTTTTGTTTTAAAGAAATAAAATAAAAAATAAAACCAAGTTCGATTTGTATGAACTTACATTACTTTAAATATTTATGGTATACATATATATACATATTAAATATTTCTGTTATTTAAATATGGTATTAGAATACCATACATTTTAGTTCTAAATATTTTGTAGTGGAAAAAAGCAACTGAATTACAAATGCACGTATTACCTGATCGAATAGATAAACTCCGTAAAATGTCGAAAAACCTTCAACAAACCAAGGATCAGACTGCTTAAGTTCAACTAGCCAATTACTGAACATTTCTTGTATCACACTGCGTACAACCAAACATGTTACTTCTGTTTTTCTTATAATCGAATCTACTTCTTTATTATATGCAATGTCAGCGTCTCTGAACATAATATTGTTTTTAATGCAATTATGTCGTACAGCATGTGTATATTTGTTTGAAGCTAATTTTTTAATATTTTATGTAATGTATCATACCTGAACAAAACAAGTCCAGTAGTTACTATAGTATTGTAAGAACTGGAGTTTATTGGAAGTGCTACATAACGCACATGTGAGGCCAATATGACATCCTTTACTTTTTCTCTGAGAAATATCGTAATATCCTCCATAAGAAACATGGCGTACAATATGTAGTTTCTCACTTCTAATCTACTTTCCATAGTAAATTTATCGAACATTAAGATAGGTGCAGCACAGTCATAAGGTATGACTACTGGTGCTACCAGTTGAGTGGACATTAGGGGTGTGATAAGAAAAGAAGTATAGACCTTATTTCTTTCTAAAATTCTATCACCAGGCATGTGTGACAGAGCTGTTGTACCGTATTCATGGGTAATTCGAATAGTAAATTTAGCTTTAGTTGCAGGATTTTCCCAATATGGAAATATCCATTCAGCGGGAATACGAGGTAAAATCAAATATCTATAGAATAAAAAAATTGATGTTCTACAGAACTTATTACTTATAAAAATGTATAAATGTTATTTCATCAAAATGAAAGAAAGAATAATTACTGATTAACATTTTTTTTACCTACTTTTTTTTTTTAGTTTGATCTACATATGGAAAAATCATTGCAACTTTCGTTAAATTACAATTATATTGTCTATGTATCCGATATATTCCACTTTGGAGATTTACTTTTTTTTGGTTACTTGTAGAATTCTTTTGATACAGCTTTCTGCGGCTGATATCTATGAAGTGATCTTTTGTCAAAAATGTTGAATATGACCAATACGTATTCTTATCATAGACAATATCAGTATCGATCAAAAGAACGTATTCATCGTTACAATAACGTCCGAAATAATATATTCTTATATCTGGCTGTACACATGAAATATTCAATTCGACATGAGAATCAACATAGAGAGAATTGTTTTGTACGTTTGGAGTAATATCTATAATATATTGTATCGGGTTTACACATGTAGGATCACGAGACACAAGGTCGTCAGTGGTAGAAGTAATTTCGATGACAAATAGAAAGTATATAAGTCCGAAGAATGTCAGCGTCTGCAATGTTTGTATATATAAAACTATATTATATTGTAGACAAAACACTTTGACGCAAATAAAAGCACAAGTATAAGACAAAAAGTTATTAGTTAAGAAGTAAAAAATATAGGTTTATTTAAATACATAACTGACACCTGTAGATGTATGTACTTGTATGTTGTGCGTATAATTTTCAATATAACAATTTAGATCTTTATGAGATGAATAACTAAAATAGGATTGTACGTTTTTTCAATATTCTATGATGTTTATAGTTCTATCACACATATCTACCAAAACAGTATTTATTTCTTATCTTTTCCAATCTGATATACACACAAGCAGACAAATACAAAACCAAAAGTATAAATTGTGTAATACATATTTTTTACAAAATTTGACTCACAACTTTAAGGTAGAGAAACTTTTATAGTTCTTCGTTTTATACTTTTATAACTTTTAAACTTTCGAATTTTACAATGTGCAAGACAACATTAATGAAAAATTAATATTTTATTGTAAAACAATATATTATTTATCATATTATACTATCATATAAACATATTATATCATATAAACATATTAGGACTTTAAATTTGATTATTTCTATTTCTGTTTCTATTTTACGATACCAGTAGAATAGACTTTTGAGATAATACATCTATACCCGACATTTCATATTCCGAGTTTTATATAACATACGGTTAGAAACAGAATCTTTATTTCATAGCAATTTACTTTATCATCATATACACGAAAAACGTATTATCTTACCATTTTCTGCAAATTGATATCCAACGCATTAAATTAAAATTCTTACAGAAAATACTGCACACTGGTACTACAAGCTCTAAAACGTATCGCGTATGCGTATTTATGCCGAATCTTGCCGTGTCGAGAAATCATCGATAACTAAGGAGCAGACGTTTGCTTTGAAAGAATAAATACATACCACGAGGTAAACGTATGTGTGTGAGTGGTAGAAGAGAACGACCTTACGGTTGTATCTTACGTATATAGATAATGATAGAAATATTGTATTTAAAATGTCTGTTAACAATTTTATGTAAGAGGATACTTTTATATACAAAATGTTTTATATAAGATATTTGTTTATTCTCTAAATCTATATTTGAAATCTGTAAAGAAAACACAGTAATTTTTGAACTTTTAAGTGAGATAGTGTTACTCTCACGTGTAAAGTTTGAAACTTTTATGGTAAGAAAAAGCAACAAATTACTAAAACTTACATGTGGACATTAAAGATATGAGTGATGTAAATTCGATTAATACTGTAACATTATAACAGTCCACATTGTGTATACGGGTATTCAAAATGTACAGCAGTAACCGTACACTCGTTCAAGCAGGTGAAAAGAAAAAATAATGATTCGAAATGTTTGAACAGCTCGAGATTTGCAATAATTACCAAGATTTGTCGTACTAAAGATGTGAAAACGGACTAAACGCGTGTATCTACCTAAGACAGAGTTTTGCGTGTTTATAGTTGCTACGCGCGCGACACGTCAATGGGAAAGGTAAATTAAAAAATACCATTTTTACATGTAGATATTATAAAAAACTCATTAACTACTGATAATTAAAAGCCATTGTATTACGTGAAAAAAGTGTAGTCGCAACCGAAAAATTAAAAGCACTTCTTTTGCACATCTAACACTTACGACTTACATTGTGTCGCGTGCAATACTCTTAAATGCACAAAAGCATAATTTGTATACTATATACTGCTTTATCGCAGATATTTATTGTTTAAAACCTTGTTGTAAATAGGCTGGTTAGTTGGAAACAAATATTATATTTTGCGACAACTCTTTCTATATGAAGTTACTTGTAAATATTCGTATTACTATAAACTACAAGATTTACGAAAACCAACAAACAAAAAGTAGTTTTGCAACTCTAATTTTTATTATAAGTAACTCTTAAAAACTATCTTTATAGAAACATAAAAAATAAAAAAAAATAATACATTTAAACATTAAACTATAACTAAGTTATCATTTACAGTTTAAAAAGTACATAAATAAAAGTGCCATTTTACGACATACATATATATCTTGTCTGATACAGATTGTTTCTTTTTTTTTTTTACATCTCAGTTTTATACTTTATCATCGCGTTTTTCCTATAGCGTACGATGAATATATATATTTAATTCTGTGCAGTTGTGATTATACTTAAATTTATTTATATTAACAGTTGTGTAAAATAAAATACACTAGATTATTGTTAGTTAGCTTACTAAAGACTCGACTTTATTATATGACTACTTTAAAAATTATTAAATGTATTAAAATCTGAAGTCTATACTTCCGATTTTAAACATAATTAATAAGTACTTCTTTAGTGTCATAAAATAAACATTAAGCTTTCTTATATAAAAGGTACTCTAGTATTAAACGCAATACATGAGTATTGTTTTTTAATTAAGTAAAGCATACCACTATACAAAACACCTTATTTAATTATATATACTACTTAAACATTTCGTGCGGTTTGTGACGAATGGCACTACTTCTTTTATTTAACAGGTAACGACGATGTTCAACTTTTTTCGTGATGTTCTCAAGTATGAATCTTGCCTA